TTAAACTTTTCGGATGCTGATAATCCTCTGTGTAATAAAAGGTGAATTATTTACCAACTGTATATGTAGCAAGGTGATCCGTATAAGTTCAGCTGCAAAAAAGGCAAGTATTAAAGTAACTTCATCTGTGAACACTGTAAGGAACAAATATTACTCTCTGCTTAAAAACAAAGCCACACTGATTCAGGAAAGCTTTGGTCTTCTGAAATGAGTATAAGGTATAAATCAACGTGAGCCAAACTTACTCTGCATGAGAACTCCCCTTCACCTATTTTTTCCTGTTTACAAAATTTGTCTAATAATGATTATTTCTCATATTTATTTGTAAAATATTCCAATATTTATTGATGAAAAGTGGTAAGGAGTAAAATAATATTTATTTGAAGTACAAGCTTGGTTTTCATAAATTTTATAGTTTTCCATCATTGCATAGTTTTGTGTGATAACAATTTCTTGATGCCTTGTTTATAAGTGAGATTGAATTTCTTATTTTGAAACAATGAATAAAATGTGTCACCTCACCTGCTGAACTGCTTGCCTTGGTCCTCCCATTTTCACTCTGCCAACCATCACTCCCTGTCATGGCTCCCAGACAGCTTACACAGCTGTTCTGAACAAAGCCTGATTTCCTGGAAATGTACTAGAACCATAATTTACAAATATTAATTTACTAATATAGATATTTAAGTATTTTCAGTCAGTCCAAGATGATTTGATATAACAGCACTTTTGAAATATATTTCTCATTAGTGTCTCTTGTTCTCAAGAAGGATCCAATTTCACTTACATAATGTGTTAAGTTTTCAATTCTGTGTAATTTGCATTCTGCTTCAGGTTTTCTTGGAATTATGGAATACAAATTGTGAAAAAATCTTTTATGTCCCACTCAATTACCTTATAGCATAAATTCTGTAATATTTGTTGCCTATAAGTTAAAGCGTATATTTAGAGTGGGGTTGGTTATTCCACCATGAGGATGGTGGATGACCTTCACTGGGCTATGTGTCAATCAAAATCCAGCTGGTGAATTCACATGGTCTTTTTGCAAGAGCTATCTGGATCAAAAATTATGAGTTTCCAAAGCAAATAAAGAAGTATGTACACAAAGCAGCCTTCTGACTTGAGAGCCAACTCTTCTGTGAGCAGGAGGTTGAGCCAGACACCTCCAGAGATCCCTTCCAACCAGAATTATCCTATTATTTTATGGTCCTAATATGCTATGATCTTTTGGTCATACTATATACTAGTCCAACAACAGATGCAATCTGTCTGCATTCAGATACTGCAGCAATAGCCTGACTGGTGGTTTGACTTGTCAGTGGAGTGGGAAAGAGATTCATGGGACCAATCCTGTTGACAAGCAACACTAATAAAAACCTGACGTTCCTCAGACTCAGCATAGCTTCCTATTGCAGAGATAATACAGACACAAACATACCTGTACCGCGCTGCTCTTCAGTTTTAAAATCCAGCCTACCCACACACCTTTGAGTAAGCTGTGCTGCTGCCAAACCATGGGATTGTGAAACAAGGAGAGGCACGGGGTGAGTGGCAGCAGTTCACACTTATTATGTTTTCTCTTGCTCCTCTGTATCGATCGGTGCCTCTACACATTTGGATTATAAAATCTTCAGAAGACAGAATGGATTTTCTCTCAGTGTCTTACACAGAGTCTAATTAGGCAAAGGGCTTTGGCCTCTGACTTTCATTTCTAGGTGTCATGGTCATTCAAATATTTTATAACAACAGCTACACAGTGTGAGAGACTTTAGAGGCAGATAAATGGCTTGGCCATTGTGAACGCTTAATTTCTTTTCATTTACCACTCCATAACACAGCTCACATCTGCAGGCGTGACCTGTTCATCATATCTTTAAGAAACTCTGCTTGTGCCTATATTAAAACATTTGACTGGAATGAATTTACCATGCAGTGCAGATCTTATGATAACCCTGACCTTAATTACCCATTTAGCCACTTTTTTTCTCTTCTTTAGATCATATCAACTTTGCTTTCCTGTTGCTGAAAACGAATACTATTTGTTTCCCTCATTATTAGGATAGACAATTCTCATGCCCTCTTGCCAGCTCTCCTGTCAGAGCTGCTGCTCAGTGGGTCCCACCTACCAGGTTCCTGAATAAGCTGAAGTCTTCTTTCTAAAGCACAGGGTGTGTAGTCTGCTGCTATCCTACCGTTGTCTTCTTAGGATCACAGACACCTTTCTTCAGTCACTGCAGCAAAGGCTTTGATAACCAAGCCACCAACTGCCCACATCCCATGGTTCTGCCTTGCTGGCATGGCAGATCCAGCTGCAGTCACCTGTGGCTGGCCCATCCAGTATCAATAAATCATCTGGCACCTTTCAGAAAACTTGACTGCTTGCATTGTGATGTGTTGTGCTTATAGCAGATGCCAGGTAGGCTGGAATCCCTCATCAGTCTGGGATCTAAGACTCTCTCAAATTCTTTATACAAGACTTAATTTGCCTGATGAGGTGATCTGTAACAAACTCCCATCACGTCATGCTTGCAGAGCGCTAGTTTCTCCTGCTTGCTTCCCAGTCTGTAGGCGTTTGTGTGCATACCCTTGAGGAGGGTGGCCTCTCACACACCCTATTTCATCATTCCTGAGGTCTCTCATTCCCAACATGCAAGCTGCACCATTTTCTTACCACCCTTGATTACTGTTTCTTCTCTTCCCTGTGTGTTGCCATCTCCCTTCCCTGTTCCTGAAAGTTCTCCTAAGGCTGTCAAAGATGCTTGTCTCATTTTATCAGGTGAACTTGTCTCTCCTTGGGGATACAAGATACAAGTGATGTCTTCTCTCAGACAGGTTAGTTACTGTAATGATCTACATGTACTACCAGAACTCTGTAACTGCTCTCAAAGCTCAATCTCCACAAACGTGCATGTGTATATACACTCACACACAATCCTGTTCTACCCTATCTATATTGGTTAAAAAAAAAATAAAAATAAAAAAGAATAGTAACTTTAAATTCCTTTTGCCCTAAGGGCTTAGTCATGACAATTAAGTGATAATGTCCCATTTGATCACAATGCATCATCTCAATTTACACACTATTGCTATTTTCAATATGCCTGTACTAATTCAACATCTTTCCAGCTCCTCTGCTTAGTCTCCAGACACAATTAGCCTCACACCTGTCAGATACAGGCCAGCATAGCCATGCATCCCCATGGCCATGTATCCTCCCCCTTTTTTTTTTAAATGTAGACCAATACTGCAGAATATTTAAATTTTCCCTTGGTGTGAACTGCTCTGTCTGTGTTTCCAACTATATTCTGCCCTCTAATTTACGGACAGATGGAAACTTCAAGAACATCTCTGGCTTTCCATGATTGCCTTTCAAGATTCCTTCAGTTCTCTACGGCCTGCACAGTTTCACTCAAAGTCACATAACTGGATTCAAACTGAATTATATCTCAACTAATTGTACAAACTTCTGCAGTAGTGAAATAACATTTTGCAGTTTTGTACCTTATTGTCCTTCTGCCATCTTTGAGCGCTTTGTTCACCTGGGGTTATACAGAAGCATGTCCTGCAGCCTGGCTGACTAATACTTAAAGGAGTCCTCCTACAAATTTATCTTGTAGCTTTGAATTTCAGTAGATGAACTGCTGGATATCTGCTGGCTTGATGTGTCTAGCTGGTCAAATATCCTTTCTTGCTTTTTTTCTTTTTTGCTCATAGATGGCCAAACCATTTCTTTTGTTTCTATTTCTCATTCTCTTGATGCTGTCCTCCCCCATTGTTTCTGTGGCAACAGTTTCTGAACGTAGTCATCCAAGAAGCATTCATTTTCTCAAATACTATACTTTTGAAATATACACTTCTAGACCACAGCTGTTATATAAAAGCTCGAAAATATTTCAGGTTGCAATAAAGAGTTTTGACATAAAAACTTTTTAAAGTCACATTCTTTATGTTTCAGCTGAAGGAAAACTTATTCTTTATTTCCATTAATTTAGTTGCTAAGGAATGTTTACTTCTGAGGATCATGGAAGGATAGAATAGCAGAATATCCGAGTTGGAAGGGCCCCACAAGGATCATGGAGTCCAACTCCTGGCTCCCAACAGGACCACCCAAAATCAATCCCTGTGTCTGAGAGCTCTGTCCAAACGCTCCCTGAGCTCCGGCACTCAGGGCCATGCCCACAGCCCTGTGCAGGCTGTTCCGTGCCCACCGCCCTGTGGTGCAGACCCTTTCCCTAATATCCAACCTGAAAAATGTACCATAATTTGATTTTATAGATATTAATGTATGTTTTTTTATGGTGAAAGTATGTCTTTATGACCTAGGTCGTCTTATGCATTATGAATTGTAATGCATCTCCATCTGCTCCGTGCTCCCATATATGAAAAGAGACAGGGTGGAACACGGCTAATGTAGACATTAAACATTTCGAACGACTCATCCAGATTGCCGCTGCAGTGCACAGAAGAAGAAACAGTGTGTGAGCGCGAGATGATTCATCTCATCCCTAAGCAGACACCTTGAGCGGCTGATGTAAGCATCGATTCTACGGGTCAACTTTATTTTGGAAATGACCGAGGCTGGCGGAGTCGGTCCTAGGCTCAGTGAAACCTCGGAACCATTAATCTAGAGACAGTGCAAGGGAAGCAGAGAGAGGCAGAAACACCCGGAAAAGCAAAACTCGGAGCGCCCAGACAGACCCCGCGCCCCACCATCCCACACAGCGAGGCGCGACGCCCACGCCTCAGGCGGCCGACGCCCCGCCCCGCGCATGCGTGCCCGGCGGCGCCCGGCGCGGCGGGAGCCGGCTCGGAGGCGGGGCCGGGCGGTGGGGCGGGAGGCGGCCGGTGACCCGGCGGCGCGAGGGCCCGGCGTGAGGCGGGGCGGGCTCGCGTGGGCGAGGCTGCGAGGCGCCGAGCGCCGGCCGTGAGTCGTTCGTACGGCCGTTGGGGCCCGCCGGGCTGCGGGAGTCCCGCGGTGGGCGCCGGCGGGGGCGGTGCGCTCTGCCCTCCCCATCCCCTCCTACTCCCGCTCGGCCCGGCCCGGCCCGGCCCCGCTCGGCGCTGTGATTGGGCGGAAGATGGCGCTGGGCGGATGGAAATCCTAATGACAGTCTCCAAAATCGCCTCCATCTGTACCATGGTGAGTGAGTGAGCGAGTGCGTGCGGGACCGCGCCGCTCGGAGGGCTCTGTGGGGCGGCGGCGGGGCAGAGCCGCGCTCCGCGGGTGGGGATCGGGGACCGGCGCAGTTAATCGGCTTTGGGAGGCTGCAGCCAGGGGCAGGGCTGAGCTCGGGGGCTTTCCGACGGGGGCGCTTAGGACGGGGTCTCCTCGGGAGCCTGCCCTGCCGGCCCGTGGAGCCGCGTCCCGGTGCTGGCGGGGGCCGTCCCGCTGTGCGCCGTCCCGCTGTGCGCCGTCCGGGACTCGCGGGCACCGCGCCGCGTCCTGAGGGGCTCCGGGCTGCGGCGGCCCTTGCGCTGCTGCCACGGGGAGGGAGGAGGGAGCGGAGGGGAGAAATAGCCTCTGCCGTCCTGGTTGTTCGCTTGCTGGATTGGCGTTGTAACGTCCCGTGGTTTTGAGCAGTGGAAAATGCTGATGGGTGCTTTCTGGGCGCTGATTTATGATTTTCATAAACCTTACCGCGGAGAGGCTTCGGTGTCTCCAGTGGGCGTTTCAGAGGTGGCCTGAGAGAATGTGGAGTGGGCGCCTGTGGAGGTGGCTCAGGTGGCCGCCCACCGGCTGGAGCAGTGCTCTTTGCGACGTGGGAGATGGCAGCTTCTCATCCGAACTCCAAGGGTCCGATTCCCTGAATGCAGGAGCTGTACACCGAGGTCATTGTATGGCCAAATGAACGAACAGCAGTTCTCATTCTCTGGAGCAGTTACGTTTCAGACTAGGCTGTGATTGATCCTCGAGCCAGGACACGTTGATCCTTGAGTCTTTACCCACAGCTGCCTGCTGGACATTCTGTCATCGTAGACTCAGTGCCAGTCCCTTGATTTAGGCCCAGTGTAGGACCTCACATCTCTACTTGTAGCAGTATGGAAGCTGTTACAAGAAGGTGTGGATCACCCAGGCATATGGTTAAAGATTTCCTGTGTGTGTGGTTGTTGGAAGTGGTGTTTTTCACTGGCATACAAATCAATACCTAAACTAATTTTTTCCAACCAAAAACCTTACAATTAATGAAGTATCTGTACCCATGAAGCCGAAATTCTGATGTCAGTGAGGTATTCTTTGTCCAATTTAATTGTGTATGCTGAGGTGGATAGACTCCAAGCATGAGATTTTTTCCTGTGCCTTTTCTGGTGCTTAAGCTTTATTGGTACTGCATGAGTGAGGACAGCTGGCTCAGGGAACCCCCTATAAAAGTTTAGCAGTTCTTAATATAGGAATTGGCTGTTTCAGTGAAGGTAGCATGGAGAGGTATTTGATATTTACATAGGAATTGTTGAGAACAATGTGGTTATGGCCAGGCAGATCTTTTAAACGTTAAGAAAGTCATCATAATCATGTGTAAGTATTAATTTTGCAGAAACAAGAATATGAATGCTGAGTAATGTTTTCTTTTTTTTTTTTTTTCTGGCAATTCCTCTTAGTGACAAGCTACCATTTGATAAACTCTCAGACAATTTTCTGAAGATTCTCAGAACACTTCCTTGCTTTTTCCCCATGCCTATTGGAAGAATTCTCAGGTGGTTGATTCTCACCTTATGTCTGGTTAGTACAAAACCAGTAGCAGGCAATTTTTGCCACAAGACAGTTTGTGCATTCACAAACCTAACACATGTTGTGTGCTGGTGGCCTGTAACAGAGCTATCTGGAGCCATGCTGAATAATCTCTTCAATCTCAGACCTTCATTTCATGACTTCTTTTTTTGTATCCAAATTCAAGTTTCACTGCTGCTTACATTTAATGCACCCTTTTCTCTGAAGCTCACAATATTGGAAAGCAATAAACTGGATTTTCCAGCACTGGCCAATGGGATATGGTGAAGAGTGATGTCAGAAAGGCCACAGTGCCTTTTGAGGTGATGTTGCAGGAGCACATTCTGTCTACAAAATGACTTTTTTTTCTTCATTAGTTCATGCTTCATTAGTCTATACTCCAGTGTTTATATCATTAGTACTGCAGGTCTTCCTATTCTACTCCTTCAGGGTTCTTTGGATTTCTTTTCCCTATATCACCACTCGTGTGTTGTAGGAAGCCTTAATTACAAAGCTTAAGATTGCAGAAAAGGACTGGAAAACAACATTGCTGTTGTGTGGCTTATGTACTGCGCTGTTCTTTTTGCCAAATGGGTAAGGGTATGGGTGGTTGGGTGGGTTGGTTTGTTTGTTTAAATGTCTTTGCAATAGAAGTAGAACCTGGCATTTTACCCTCCATGCATTAAGCTATGAAACAAGTCTTGGTTGTCTGAATGATAGGAGGTTTTATGCGTGGTTGGGAAGTGGTAAAATAATCCATGCAACCCGCAACAAAGATGCGCCCCAAGCTATACTTGCGTAAAATTAAGGCTGAATATAGTCCTTCTGACTTTGCTTCTGCTGTCTAGAGCCCAGCAAACACTTAGCAAGCCTTCTAGTAGCTGGAGTAGAGAGGATAGAAACTGCCTCTGTAGATTAAAAACTATGGAGGTGTCCATCTCAGTCGTACAGAAGGAAGTTATGATAGTAGAGCTGGTACTTGTTTTTCAGTGTTTCCTCTAGAAATTGGTTGATTATGTTGGCACAACCTGAAAAACCATCATGAAATTTAAATGTGATGCTAATCTGCCAGCTGTAGTATTAGACATGAAAATCTTTTGCTTAATGTTTCCGGCATTTGCTTAATTGTTCACTACTAGTGTAGCATCTCATACGCAGGGTCAGTCTATTAGGCTAGTATTACTGTAAAAAGTCCTCAGTGACTAATTCAGATTTCCAAAAATGCCATCAAACACATAGTCTGTAGCTAAATGTAGATTTAATGATGCAATAGTGTGTTCTGCCTGAGAAGTTTATGTGTTTCGTACAGTAAAAAAAATTTGGTTTTAGGTTTATTTTTGAATGCACCACGTGCACACACCAGTCATGCTGAATGGTTACGTACCATCCTTTTCCTGCCTCTCTCCTTACCCCCCAGTACCTTTCTGCCTGTTTCAGTCACGTTTGACAAGAGTGAAGAGGCCTTGTAGGTGCTGATGTTAATACAAGCACGTGGGGCTGGAGGCTGCTGAGAGGAAACAGGCAGAGTGCCCAGCTTAGGGAAGGCAGCAGTGCAACCTGCCACAGATGTCACAATGCAGAGGTTGTATTAAACACTTAATTGCAGGCAGAGTTTATAGTAAACTTTGAGAAGATAGGTTTGCATGTTTGGGCTTCATTACTGCTCAGGGAACTATCTGTTTACAGTAGGTTTTTCAAACCTAATTGTGAAATCTGCACTTAATGTAAATTGATGTTTGCCAGGGTTTGAATTCAGACGGAATGGCTGTTATGTACTCACTCCTGTTCCTTTTGTTTGCAATCTACTCTCAAGCACAAATTGTAATACTTAGACAGTAATCAATTATCAGTTTTTACAGATTCTGCAGGAAAGCATAAGGAAGACTCGAGCTCAAAGGAGTGATAATTGAGAGTTGCAGCAAGGAAAAACATTGCTTCAAAGTGAGGAGGTGGCAGAAAAGAAAGCAAGAGGGTGAGAGAGCTGACACAGAGAAAATAACAGCATTGTGGTGTTCCTTTATCCAGCTGACTGACTTGCTTAGGTAGCAGAGCTGGCAAGGAGGAGCATGTGCTGTGTCTCAGCCATGCCATTTCACTTTGGCATGGTGACCTGAATCTGCTTTCATCAGTGGACTGGAGTATCCTGGCATGTGTTCTGTTTTCGTGATTCTGTTGCAAGCACACTCAGTTTTGGAGGAGTGTGTGTTAGACAGTTAGTTCAAGAGCCTATACAACTGCAGAGAGGTTCACTCATTGGTTGGAGTTACAATAGGGAGAATTTTTCATTATGATTGTGACACGATTGTGGCATTTGTCATCATCATTTTTGTAGGTGCAACATGTAGCAATGTAGCAATAAAAAAAATAAAGCTACACGTTTGCTGTTTAAAATGCTGGGTTTGGGGTAGTGCTTAAAATGCACCAATTACTTTGGACACATTTGACTATAAATGTAACTAAAAATTCATATAAAACAAATGTGAAATACAAGACATGAAGAAGAAAGCACTGAAGCTATGTAGCTGTAAAGCAATATTTGTCACAGCACAGAATTTCTTAGTTGGCTTACAACTTAAATAATTTCAATTATATACATGTGCCTGTGTCATTTGACTTACATGTGAACGTTCATTTATTGGGTTCTAAGCACAAAGAAACAATGGAATACCTACTTGGACTCTAGTTTTGCCAGCAGTGAATTTTTAGCTGTGTCAGTGGGACCAGCTGATCCCATTACTACACAAAGGTTGATTATTCAGGTGATCATTTATGTGGGCTTTCTTACTTTTTAAATTGGCAAAGCAAGTGATTTGCATCAAGACTTGTAGGAATGGTTTTGTAAGAATGTGGAAGAAGGATGTCTGTCCCTTAATTAGATTGTTTACGTTTTTCTTATGTATCTGTTGAAGGAAGGAAGAGTATAGAAGGCCCATGTAGGGGGTCAACTTTTGTTTTCTTGGTTTAGTAAGTTTCTAAAAGTAAAATGCTTTTAACAAATATTGTATTTCAAATCAGATCTTTTTGATCTTTGAGTCTTAAAAAAAAAACACGAAGAAGAAATCCCACTTAACCCTAGATAAGTTTTGTAGCATATAAACATAATGATTTGGTGTATTAGCATAAATACATCAAAATCATGTATCAATATAAATGTACCAGAGCAGAAGAGCACTCTTACCATTTTTCATAACTTCAAGAAGTTTTAGTGAGTCTGTGAAAATAGAGAAAACAGCATTTGTTCTCATGAAACGGCCATTTTTGTGGGTTAAAACTGTATTTTAAACATTACGTAGTGTTTGTTAACAAAAGTGAACAAATGTGTTACTGTACTTTTTCTCCCTCTGTGTTGTGGGTGATTCGGTAAGTGCTTTTCTTGTTTGTTTGTTCAGGGTGAGTATAATGCTTCTAACTGCTTGTACTTTCTAGGCAATGAA